GATCACATACAGTGTGAATGTACAGTCCATCACAGGGTCACAGTGTGGATGTACAGTCCATCACAGGATCACAGTGTGAATGTACAGTCCGTCACAGGATCACATACAATGTGAATGTACAGTCCATAGAAATTTGCCCAGGATGTCGGAGTTACGGCGTGTTAGGGATAAAAAGCATTCATTGTTACCATCCTGTGCCTTTTAAGAGGTTTTGTTTTTCTCTCCTGGAAAGGTTGGGAAGGTAACTCAGTTAATATACTGCTCACCTCAAATGCACAAGGCCCTGGTTTTTATTCCTAATACCCCATAAATCTGAGCTTGTTAATGGAGGCCTATAATCTCATCATTTAGGAGGTCGAATTGGGTGGGGAAGGGATGAGAGGTTCAGGGCTGTCTTTGGCTACACAAGTGAGTTTGAAGCCAGTCCGGCTTCGTGAGGGTCTGTCTCAAAAACACCAAAAAAAAAAAAAAAAAAGCAGCCAGTTCAGACCCATGAAAAACTCATATTGCCCACACATCCATTGCTTTCTTGTTCTTCCCACAAAAGACTCAGTAGATAACCCAGTAAGCAGAATCCCTCCCTGATCTGGTTGGTTTCTTCAGTTGATCACTATCCCATCATTAACGAAAACCTGAGCCTTTATTATTTTTTTCCTCCACCCTTTTCAGAAGTGGGCATGTGGCCTATTTCTTACTCCTTTGAGACCTGGTTAAGAAGTGACTTCATCTAAGTAACCCTGGAATCCAGTCTTCTAATGGCAAAGAAATTAGGGGAAGATTTGAGACGTGGGATTTGATGGGGTTGTGTGGCCTTGAGCAAGCTAGGTAACCATTCTGGTCTCAGCTACTTTCTTTCTGAGTGAGGTGTTAGGCATGTGTATGATTAGGTATTAGGTTTAGTGAGGTATACGATCTGATCTAAAAGGTTCCTTTTGGTTTAAGACTTCGGTGCTTTTGTGCACTAAACCTATGTTGTCAGCTCATGTGGCTAAAAGATTATCCATTTGTTGCAGTGTTTTTGGATGGCGCTGTGTCTGAGGACTCCGGCTGCTCTGATAATAGCCTGAGAAGACGGCATGCTGTTCCTTCCCAGCGCCAACCCGGACCCATTCTGAACCTTGGATCTCAGTCCTTCATGGAGACCAGCTCCCGGCAGGAAATTGGCACCCAGATGGTTCCTCCATGTGAAGCTGTCTCTGGCTGCGGGCTGACTGGAGGACTCCTGGTGGCTAGGCCAGCCCTTTCTCAGTCATCCGGGACAGGGCAGCATGGTGCGGATTCAGAGGCGGAAGCTTCTGGCGTCTTGCCTGTGCATGACAGCTACTGTCTTTCTGATGGTCACACTGCAGGTACTGGGAGTCCGGGCTGTGTATAGCGGATTCGTTGCTAGGCCCTAGCCTTCCTCCCCATTTCCCTTCCCTTTCCTCAGAGAACTCTGAGTAATTGATGTCTGCTTAACTTTTCTGCATCCTGAGCCCATGCTACACAATACAAAGGAGAGCACCCTTCTTCTGTTTTTCTTCTCTTATTTTCATCTGTGTGTGTGTGTGTATGTCTAGATTTCTGCTGTATAGACCAGCATGGTATGGAACTCAGGATACTTCGATTTTTGATTTCTAAGTGTTGGGATTAAAGGAAGGAACCACCGTGACCATTTGGGAGAACATTTTCTTTTTCTCTTTTTCTATTTAGAATTGTCTCATGTAACCCAGGTGAGCCTCAGAATTGATACATGTTCAAGGATAACCTTGAATATCTGATTTTCCTGCCTTTAATGCCCTAAGTGTGTGACTATAGTCATATGTCACCGTGTTCAGTCAGTTTTTAAAAAAATTTATTTAAAAATTGTTCATATATATATATACATATTATATATATTATATATATATATATATATATAATTTTGATCATGTTTTTTCTCGCTTCCAACTTTTCTCCAGTCATTCCTACCTATCCAGCTTTTTGTTCTCTCTCTTAAAAAAAAGCAGAGAAACACAAAAACTAAAATCAAAACGAACAAAAACAAGATCAAAAAAGTCAAAATGAAACAAAAAGCCCACAGAAAAAGATGGAGCGTTTTTGTGTTGGCGTGGAGCCTGCCGTGCAGTGTGGTTGATCCATCCTGTGACACCCTATTGGAGAAAACTGATTTTTCCATTGCCAGTTTGTGTCAAGTTTAGATAGCATCTTAGTCAGGGATGGGAGCCAGAGTCCAGCTTCCTGTCTCAGTGCTAGGACAGCATCTGCGCGACTCGGTGCAGGTCCTGCGCATGCGGCCACGGTCTCTGTGAGTCCACATGGGCGTCGTCAGTACTGTTTTGTCTGGAAGACACTGTTTCCTTGGAGTCATCCATTACCTCTGACTCTTTCTGCCTCCTCTTCCACGGAGATCCTGACCCCTGAGGTGAGAGGTTTGATGACGACATCCCATTTAGAACCAAGGGCTCCAAAGTCTCTCACTCTTGCACACTGTTCAGTTATTGGTCTCTGTGTTGCTTCTCTAAGAAGCTTCTCTAAGCTGGACTGAGTAAGGCACTGATCTATTGGTGTGAAAGGATGCGTTAGGAGTCATTTTATTGATCTATTCCTTTAGCAGGACAATAGTATTCATAGTTTACCTGTAGGCCCGTGACCTATCCAGTCTGCTCTTGGATACCCTAGCAGTCTCAGCGGTTCTATTTAAGGAGCGGGCCTTACATCCAATCAGAAACCGATTGGTTACTCCTGTAACTGTTATGCCACTGTTGAACCATTTTATCGTGCAGGTAGGTAGCTGTGATAGGTTTCAGGGTTTGTAGCTGGCTGGTATCATTACCTTTCTCCTCTGATAGTATGCAGAGTGCCTTCTAGCACCATGGATCTTCTAGTTGGTCCCCATGGATGTCTCAGTGTTACTTTTAGCAGTAGGGCCTCATCACCAGTTTGTGGAGAGCAACCAGTAGCCTTGCTAATAGCCTGGGGCCAGCTCTGTACAGCTCTGGCCTCTCTGCTTTTGTTGGCATCAGAGGCCAGGGCCATCAACAGAGACCATGGTTGGCAAGCCAGGAACACAGCCGTGAGTCCCAGCAGCAGCTCAAGGCCAGATATCATCTTGACCCTGGGTGGTAATCAAGCCACTCCCCTCAGCCCGCTCCCCTCCTCTCTCGCCTCATCAGCTATGCCTCTGTCCACAGGCATGAACCAGCCAGTCTGTCTGTCTGTCTCCCTGTCCCTTCCTTACGCCATACCATACCTCTGCTCACTCATATCGTGCCCATCTAGCTGGCGCTGCAAGGTGCCAGGTGGGCCCATGTTTTCTCCTCGGAGCCCGGGGCAGACAGCTCGAGGCCTGTGTTTGGTTCGTGTTGTCCCACTCAGTTCACTGTGATGCTGGGCTGGACCATGCTTCCTTATCACAAAGAGATCATTATAGGTGCAGGCGGGCTCTTAGTGGATGCATTTGGTTCAGTTTCACCTACCTCCGGCTGCATGGCATGCTGCTGGTGTCCACTGGTGGACTGGGGTTAGCATCTCCCAGTATGGTTTTCTTTTCTTTCTTTTTCTTTTTTTCCTCTAACAAATATGGATTACTTTTCTTTTTGAGACTGGTTTGGTTGATCTGTCCCTGTCCCTGTTTCTGTCTCTGTCTCTCCTGCCCAGGCTGACTTCAAACTCACTCCTGTTCTAGAGCCCCTTGTCCTCAATGCTGGGATTGTGAATGTGCTCTCTACATCAACCAGATAGATTTCCCATTACTTATTTACTTACTTATTGTGTGTGTGTGTGTGTGTGTGTGTGTGTGTGTGTGTATGCACGGGCATATGCACATTGGTGTGGGTGCCTGCAGAGATTAAAAGCGGGTTTCAGATCCTGTAGAGCTCTTACAGGCAGTTGGGAGCTGCCTAATGTGGATGCTAGGAACCAAACTCAGGTCTCCTAGAAGAGCAGTATGTGCACTTAGTCACCCAGCTGTCCCTCAAGCCCAGAGACTTAAAAAGAACATAACTATGTAATTGCTGTCTCACCTGCTGCAGTGAACAGTTGTTTCTTAGTACCCTCTATTAGTGGGCATGCTAGATTTCTCCCAGAGAAAACTCACTTTACAATGGCATTCCAAATCTGCAGTTAGTACATCCCCATACACTACATTTGGCTAGCAAATATCAAATTTTGCATTTGATATTTATTTATTTATTTTTGTTTGTTTGGGAGGTTTATTTTGTTATGTTTTTTTCCATATCTGAATTTGTTGAAGGAACTGGTTTCTTTGCCCTCCGGATTGTGGATTTGGCTGCTCTTTTTTTTTTTTTTCTGTTTTATTGACATTTATTGAGCTCTACATTTTTCTCTGCTCCCCTCTCTGCCTCTCCCCTCCCCTCTTGAACCCTCCCCCAAGGCCCCAATTTACTCAGGAGAGCTTGTCTTTTTCTTCTTTCTATAATCTATGTAGATTATATCTATGTAAGTCTCTCTTAGTGTCTGCACTGTTGTTTAAATTCTCTGGGATTGTAGTTTGTAGGCTGGTTTTCTTTGCTTTATGTTTAAAAAACACCTATGAGTGAGTACATGTGATAATTGTCTTTTGGTGTCTGGGTTACCTCACTCAAAACAATGTTTCCTAGCTTCATCCATTTTCCTGCAAAATTCAAGATGTCCTTATTTTTTTTTCTGCTGTGTAGTACTTCATTGTGTAAATGTACCACATTTTCCTTATCTATTCTTCAGTCAAGCAGCATTTAGGTTGTTTCCAGGTTCTGGCTATGACAAGCAAAGCTGCTATGAACATAGTTGAGCACATGTCCTTGTGGCACGATTGAACATCCTTTGGATATATACCCCAAAGTGGTATTACTTAGGAAGGTTGTTTCCTAATTTTCTGAGAAATCACCACACTGACATCTAAAGGGGTTGTACCAGCTTGCATTCCCACCAGCAATGCAGGAGTGTTCCCTTTTCCCCACAACCCCTCCAGCATAAGTTGTCATCAGTGTTTTTGATTTTGACCATTCTTACAGGTGTAGGATGGAATCTCAGAGTTGCTTTGATTTGCATTTCTCTGATGACTACAGGTGTTGAACATTTTCTTAAGTGTCTTTCAGCCATTTTAGATTCCTCTGTTGAGAGTTCTCTGTTTAGATCTGTACTCCATTTTTTTTTATTGGATTCTGTGATCTTTGGGTGTTCAATTTCTTGAGTTCTTTGTATATTTTGGAGATCAGACCTCTGTCTGATGTGGGGTTAGTGAAGATCTTTTCCCATTGTGTAGGCTGTTGTTTTGTCTTGTTGACCGTGTCCTTTTCTTTACAGAAGCTTCTCAGTTTCAGGAGGTCCCATTTATTAATTGTTTCTCTCAGTGTCTGTGCTGCTGGGGTTATATTTAGGAAGTGGTTCCCTGTGCCAATGTGTTCAAGTGTACTTCCCACTTTGTCTTCTATAAGGCTGACTTTAAGTTGAGGTCTTTGATCCATTTGGACTTGAGTTTTGTGCATGGTGACAGATATGGGTCTATTTTCATTCTTCTGCATGTTGATATCCAGTTATAGATTTGACCGATCTTATCCTTCAGGTTTTGTTTCATGTTCTTCTTTCTCTCCTATTTCCTACAACCTGACAGTGACATCTAGGGATAAATACACGCTAAGAGCTGCATTGCAGAGACAGCTCTCCTTCAAACTGCCTCCTTATTTATAAATGAACTTACACTTCACAAGAGACATGGGTGAGGCACGTGGAACACATTTGTATTGAGCTTCCATCTCATGGAGTTTTGACAGTCTTTTCTTTCTTTTTCCTTAAGTTACTGGTTGTACATTAGTAAGAAGGACAGTCAGATGAAGAGAGGGATCTGGGGATGTAAATTAACTTCCTCCCATCAAGCTTTTGGGGAAGAGTCACATTATTACATTGTAAAAGTGCCGAGGAAGCGCTTGGCAAGAGCTGACTTGGTTTTGGTTCTTTAAAGCTAATGTATTTTTTAGCTCTTCTGAAATAGCACTTGACTTCCATAGAGGAGGTTCTAACATCTTAGTTGGCGTGGGTACTGTTGAGAATCTAGTCGAAGTTTTACCCTTTCCTTAGGGGAGTTATGGACTTCAGGTGATGTGTGGTGGTCAGCGGCACTTTACTCACACCAGGAATAACAGGCCCATTAAAAAGGAGCTGTCCTTGGTTACTGGGTGCGTGTCCTCTTGTGGACACTATTTTTATTAATATTATTAAGATTAGTGCTATTATAATGAAATTGTGCTATCTTAGGAGCAGTTTGCTGATAAAAAGATGAATTTGATTCTTTCTTGCTTCCCTTTTTTGGTACAAGATCTCACTCTGCACCCCATGTTGACCCTGAACTTGGTATCTCACTGCCTCAGCCTCTTTTTTCTTTGTTTCTTGTTTTTTTGAGACAAGGTTTCTCTGTGTAGCTTTGGACCTGTCCTGGAAATCGCTCTGCAGACCAGATTGGCTTCAAACTCACAGAGATTCACCTCTGCCTCCCGAGTGCTGGGTTTAAAGGCATGCATTACCACCACCCCCAGTCTCTGCCTCAACCTCTTAAGTGCTAGGATCGCATGTATATACCATCGCTCTGGCTCTAAATTAATCTCTTTGGTGAAGGGCAGGTGCCAGGATGAAGCCCACAACTTCTAGTGTTTGGGGCAAGCATTCCAGCCCTGAGCTACACCGCAACCCTTCCTGTCCGTTTCCCTCTGTTGGCCTCCTCAGCGTTGGACAGCACAGTCTCCAGAGCTTTAAGATTTAGAGATTATCAACCTCAGGTATACTGTTATAGCAGTACCCAGTGGAACAAGACAGGAGGTTATCCAGAATTGTCCACAGAGGTCGAAGGTAATCACACAGGTCATTAAAACCAGAGAACCTTCCCTGGACTTCTTCACAGAGGGGGCAGTGTCAGGAGCAAGAGGAGTGGTGGCAATAGATTGAAAATGGGACCGAGAGCCAAATAAGCATTGTGAGCTATGCCTAAAAGAAAAAGCAAGAGGCTGTACTGTTCCGCAGGCTCTGTAGAGGATGTAGCTATTCTGGCCATTTGATTTTTAGACTATGCGCCCGTCTCTAGCTCCTGCCCTCCAGAACCTGTGTGGTTCTAAGTGTGTTACTTTAAAGGAGTTGTGGTATGTTGTTACAGAAAACTGACAGGAAGCTAAATCTTCGTCAGTGGGAGCTGTGTCGAATAAAATGGAAGCATCAAATTCTGATAATGGCTGTCTTCACTCTCAGGTCGTGGTTGAGCTTGGAAGATTTGAAAGGAAGAAGTTTGAAAATTCCAATTTGCAAGATGGACATAAAAAAGTGGAGGAAGAGCCTCACCGTCTCGACCCATTTCCTGAAAAGGCAGCCCTAGCCTTGGGTGTGAAGAATACAGTGGACGTTGGCAGCTACCCCATTGTGCTGTGGTGGTCCCCACTGACAGGGGAGACTGGCAGGCTGGGCCAGTGTGGGGCAGATGCTTGCTTCTTCACCATCAACCGGACCTTCCAGCAGCATCACATGACCAAGGCCTTCCTCTTCTATGGTGAGTGGGGCTTCTCCTTCCTCCTTTCATCTGTTAAAGTCTTGTTCAAAGGCGAGTTGCTGTTCTTCCCCCCCCCCCCAGAGAGGCCAGAGCTCTCCTTGGATGTATATTAGAACACCTGATTTCTTCAGTGTTGGGTGTGTGGAAGGCCGGAGACATTGAGCAAATTTCAGACAATCCTGGTCAACTGTGCTGGTTTGAATGAGAAAGGCCCCTCTTGGCTCATACTTTTGAATGAATGGTCCCCAGCTGGTGTACTGTTTAGCAAGGTTGAGGAGGTGTGACCTTGTTAGAGGAGGTGTCACTGGGGGTGGGCTTTGAGGTTTCAAAAGCCCGTGCCAGGCCCAGTCTCCTCTGTCAGGTCTTAGCTACTGCTCCAGCACCATGTCTGCCTGCCTGCCACTGTGTTTCCCCGCAATGATGATCATGGACTAACCCCCTGGAACTGTAAGCAATCTCCCAATTAAAGCTGTCTTTTATAAGGTGCCTTGGTGTAGTTTTTACTCTTACTCTTTGGGAGGCCCCAAGTAAAAACACACAGAGAGTTCTTATTACTTATAAATGCCTGGCCTGAGCTTTGCTTGTTTCTTGACAGCTTTTCTTAAGTTAACCCTGTCTACCTTTAGATTCTGGGCTTGTACCTTTCTCAATTTTGTGTATCTTTTCTTTCCTTCTTATTCCATGTCTGACAGTGTGGCTTTGTGACTGGTCTCTTCTTTTCTCGCTCCTTGATATTTTTTCTCCCTAGATTTCTCCTATTTATTCTCTCTTCCTGCCAGCCCTGCCTATCCTTTCTCCTGCCTTGTTATTGACCGTTTAGCTCTTTATTAGACCAATCAGGTGTGTTAGGCAGGCAAAATAACACAGTTTCACAGAGTTAAACAAATGCAACATAAAAGAATGCAACACATCCTTGCATCGTTTAACAAATGTTCCACAGCATAAACAAATGTAACACATCTTAAAATTATATTCTACAACACCTCGGTCATGAGGTCTCTTCATATCAGTAGAACAGCAACTAAGACACCAGCCTAGGCTTGGTTGGATGGGCTGCTCAGTGGTTTCATAGGTGAATGTAGTGCTTACTAAATAAATCTGTTGTGTGGAATTTGGTATTGCCGATATCGGTTTAAATATCCATTGGTGATGAAGGCAGGGAATTTTGATGATCATGACAGACATGTAAGTGGACATCAACAAGCATGATGTTGTTTATGTCTTTGACGTTAGATTAATCAGAATAAAAGGGTGGCTGAGGAGATAGCTACGTCATTAAGGTGATTGCTATGGAAACCTTTCTGTTGCTGAAGAGACACCATGACAAACGCAACTTAGAAAGCTCACAGTTCCAGAGCGTGCTAGAGTCTGTGACCACCATGGTGGGGAGCATGCAGCTGGCAGGAAGACATGACACAGGAATAGTAGCCGAGAGCTTACATCTTATCCAAAAGTTGGAGACAGGGAGGAAGAGAAAGTCATCCGGAATGGTGAGGATTTTTGAATCCTCAAAGCCCATCCCCAATATCAGCTCTCCAACAAGCTACACCTCCTAATTTTTCCCAGACAGTTCCACCAATTGGGGACCAAGCGTTCAAACAGAGCCTATGTGGATCATTTTCATTCTAACCACCACATATGAGGACTTGCATTCAATTCCCAGGATCCCTAAAACAGCCAGACATAAGGTTTTGCATTTGTTAACCCCTTGCTGGGAATGCAGAGCCCTGAGTATCCACGGGACTCGCTGACCTAGCCCGTGTGTGAACTCCAGGTCAGTGAAAGGCTGTCTCACAAAAACCCAAGGTGGGTGCCACCTGGAAAACAATGGCTGTAGATGTCCTCTGGCTTCCACAGTCACTTGTGCGTGCACCCTGCAGGCACGCATGCATGCACATACATGCACACACACACACACACATACACATACCCCCACACTACTTACATAGAAGAGAGATAGGAAAGGAAGGAGAGAGGGAGGAAGGAAGGTCTCTCTCTCTCTCTCTCTCACACACACACACACACACACACACACACACACACACAGATTGAGATTTCTCAGCATTATTTTTCAAAGAACTTATTAGTTCCTGAAGCTGATTATCTGTCACGCTGGAAATGAAGGGCCACCCTATGCAGGAAGGTGGGCCCGTCAGTATGCAGCAGTAGTTGGCAGGACACGGGTCTGGGAGGCAAATGGTGCCGTGATGGGGCAGATGAATGAATGAACTTACCAAATGAAGGCAAAGCCGCTCAGATGAGCTAAGATGTCACTGAAAGGAAGTCTGCATGAATGAGCATGGAGGTGACGGCATGTGTCTTTGAGTGTGTGCGTGTGTGTGTACACATGTGTATGCTTATGAGTGTGCATGTTTGCATGTGGGTGCTTGTGCGCATGCATGTGTGCTTGAGAGTGTGCACGTTTGCATGTGTGTGCTTATGTGTATGCATTATTTGCTTGTGTGTACACATGTGTGTGTTTATGTGCATATGTATGTTTGTGAATGTGTATGTTTGCATGTGTATGCTTGTGTGTATGCACATGTATGCTTGTGAGTGTGCATGCTTGCATGTGTGTACTTGTGAGTGTGCATGTTTGCATGTGTATGCTTATGTGTACGCATGTGTTTGATTATATGTACACATGTGAGTGTTTGTGTACACATGTGTGCTCATGAATGTGTATGTTTGCATGTGTGTGCTGTGAGTGTGTATGTTTGCATGTGTCTGCTTATGTGTGCACATGTGTATGCTTGTACACACACACATGTGTTTGTGTACTGATGTAGGTGGGCCTTCTGTTATGTGTTATTTTCATTGGTTAATAAAGAGACTGCCTTGACCCTCTGATAGGACAGAAAATTAGGTAGGTGGAGTAAACAGAACAGAATGCTGGGAAGAGGGCAATGAGGCAGACACCATGGAGCCAGCCACCAGGTCAGACATGCTGAATCTTTCCCGGTAAGCCACCATCTTGTGGTGTTACACAGATTATTAGAAATGGGTTAATCAAGATGTGAGAGTTAGGTAGTAACTAACTCTCTAGAGATAATGGGCCAGGCAGTGTTTAAATGAATACAATTTGTGTGTTGTTATATTTGGGGCTAAGCTAGCTATGTGGGAGCTGGGTGGGATGAAAAGCAGGCCTCCCCGCAGCTCCTCACTACAGTGTACACATGTGTGCTTGTAAACATGTATGTTTACATGCGTGTTTATGTGTACACATGTGTGTGCTTGTGAGTGTATATATTTGCATGTGTGTGCTTGTGTGTATGCATGTGTATGCTTGTGAATGTATATTTGAATGTGTGTGCTTGTGCACATGTATGTATGTGAGAGTATGTGTGAGCATGTGTGAATGTGTGTGCGTGTGTGGTGTGTATGAGTATATAATGTGTCTAATGGTGGCACTGGAAGGACAGAATTGAGACTGGAGTGGAATTGAGCCATTTTCAGTGTTCTTTCAAGTAGAGTCTGGAGGTTTTTATGTCCCACAGAGTCAGGGCCACAGAGCAGTGGGCATGAGTGTCTTGGTATAAGTAAGCATTCGCTACAATTCTAGGCACTTAAAAACCAAGAGAAATCCACAACACAGGTTGAGTAGCTTTTAACTGAAGTCCTTGGGCCGGAACTATTTCAGTTTTTTTCCCCCCAGATTTGAAACACACACACACACACACGCACGCACGCACGCACGCACGCACGCACATGCACACATGCATGCAACACACATGCATACACACAATACTATATCTTTGAGTGGGACTCAGTTTACTGATGCCTCAGGTATTTCTTACATACACCATCTGAAGATGATGACGTAGTATTTTCAGTGTGTCTGCATTTTGACTGTCACACAAAGCTTTAAAAATAACTCCTTTATTTTAAAAATATTTTTTGAACAGAAGGTTTAGTCAAATGCAATATGCTGTCTTGACACAGCAGTATACTATACAATGGTAAATATGTATAGACTAGAAGCATAGGCAAACAACTTAAGTCTCAACCAAGTAGCAAATAGGAATTCATGTGTGTTTGTGTATGTGTGTTGAATATATGTGTGTGTGCTTATGTAGGTGTGCGTACATGCATGGTCATGTGTGTGTGAGTATATATATGTGTGCACATGTATATGTAGAGGCCAGAGGTCAACTTGGATGTCACTTCTCAGGAGCCATCTACCTTTCATTTTGTGTCACGGTGTTTCACTGGGACCCAGAACTTACCAATTAGGCTAAGGTGGCTGGGCAGTCAGCCTGGATTTTTTGGTCTCTGTCTCTTTAGTGCTGGGATCACAAGGATGGGGCATCATATCTATCTTTTTTATGTTGGTGCTGGGGATTAAACTCGGGTTCTCTCACTTTGGGTTGGCATTGGTTGAGCCGTCTCCTCAGCAACCAAACTGAATGTTTATTTGCAAAGTACTGAGGATTGAACCAGAGCCTCATTTATGCTCAGTAAGTGCTTCATCACTGACTTTTGTCCTCTGCCTACAAGTTTTGAAACATGAAAAATAATACGGAATATTGTGGATGCTATTAGGAATCTCCAGTAGACATCAATTTAAGCGCAGCAGTGGCTTCTGCCCAGGGAAACAAGTTGAGCACCTGTGTCCTCCAACACACAGACACACACACACACACACACACACACACACACACACAAAACCATTGTGCACAGCGTGTTTAGCCTTCCTCTTTCTTCTCAGCCATCGTTTAGAATCTTGTATTTTTATCAGTTAAAATGCAGTAACGATCGCTCTGCTGGGTGACGGTTTCCTTCTATCCTGGTAGGAACCCCTTTAGCTGTGACGGGTGGGAGCTGGTAAAACAGGACTCTGCGTGGTGACTGTCCAGGACTGTAGATCTGTATGCCCCACACTTATTTTCTAGTCAGGCTAGGGCCCGTGTTTTCTCAGAGGTGGCCTCGCCTTCCGCCAGCTTCCTGGCATGTTAACAGTGTGCCTCGGCTGTGGCTGTCACTGTACCGTAGGCCGGGTT